ACAAAATAATTTAGACCATTATAGAAGGTTTATAAAATAAGCTTTGGCAACTTTGTTGGTCCATGAGTTCTAAAGGCAGAGAAAAAGCAGTAAAGTGGCTTTTAATTGAGTCCAATTTATTGACATGAGTCAACTTATATTAATGGATTTGAATACCTTAAGTGAGAAAACCTGTATTTTTGGATGTACCAGAATTTTTCTATCAGACAGTGATAAGCAGGAGAAAATCAACTAAACACAGCAAAGGAGAAAAAAGGAAATAGATCCATAATGTGGAGAGTAGGACAAAAAAGCCATCCAGAGGGAAAACAAAGCAGAACTAATAAGAAATGAGCTAGAAGATGCTCTACTGATCGAGCTATATATACTAAGTGGTTTTAATCATTTAGTTATCTAGAGATAAATTAAGCTTTCTTTCAGCTAGGGGTCAATAGAAGCATTACATCTTACTAAACGACTGAATGGTGCTTAGAAAATTTTTTAAAGTTTCACTTTTTTGATACCTAAAACCTGGGAATTTCCCATTTTATTGTGACTTGCAGATTCTCATTGTGTTATTGAGTTGTTGTGCTTATTCTTGTCATTCGATTTCACCTGGGGAGTGACAATATTATAAAATGCACCAATGAAATATTTTTAAAGTATGGTAGTGAATAGAGCAAATATTGAGATATGACTACAAAGTACTGTAATTTTGCGTGGGACTGATTAAATTAGTCTCATTATTTTATAGTTGTAGCAGATATACTCACATAACCTTGCATGCATACATTTGTCTGCCCTCTGTCCTCATTCTCTGACTTCTGATCCAAAAGAGGGAAGAGAATGTAATTTTCATTCCAGATTTTGAAAAAAGGTCTAGAAGTGCTAATACAGATGGCTTCAGATTATTCATTCCACCTTCATTTTGGCTGTTCTTTCCCAAACAAAAATCCAATTCTCTTGCCCTTTCAGACCTTCCCTATCTAACTCAGAGATCAGCTGGTCCTGCCTACATACTATTTAATTGAAATGAGCAAGTTATGAAAGCAGTTTATTTAAATTATTGACTGCTTTCCTAACCTCAGTTAAGCCCTAACAGCTACTTGGCAATTCTTAAACTACTCTTGTTGATTTCCTAGCTCATCTTCCATAATGAATGTTCTAACATCCTTCTCTTTCTTATCAAGATCCCAGATATACTTTCAATCACCAAACTGACAGCAGATTGAGCCTCCTCCTTCACTGAGACTGAAACCATCTGCCACTTCCCCTCTTGACTTCTCAAAACTTCTCAACATTATCACCACTTGGACTTAGACTTCCACCTTCTAGTCTTTTTCCTCACTACTATGACCTTCACAAAGTTCTTGAAATAATCTTTTAGCCTGCCTATTTAATTTTTGTGCTCATTTATCTACAATGAGACTTACCTCTAGAATAAAATACAAATTTCTAAATTCTTCTATTGCTTCAAGTTTTGTCCTCTGGAGCTAAGCAGACTAAGTCTAATCCTTCTTCCACATAAGAAATTTTAAATACTTAAAAAGACAGCTATCATGTTCTTCCTCTACCAACCCACCCAGATTCTTTTCTTCAGGATAAACAATCCCAATTCCATCAAGCAACCCAGATATGGCATGAAATCAAGGCTCTTTACCATCCTAGCTTCCCTCCTCTGAGAAATCTCCAATTTATCAAAGTCTTTTCCAAAATGTGGTACCAGTACAGAGTAGAATGGAACTCTTATCAGACAAGTCCTAGACTCTATGTTTCACTTAAGGCAGCCAAATTTTACATTATGAACTCACCATATCTAGCTAGCCCCTCTGACAAAGTCATGCTTCACCACCATCTTCCTAAAATATTTCCCTATTGCAGCCACTCTTGACACCTGCTTAAATGGACTTCCAGCTCCTGCCACAGAGCTGTAATCTCCTGGTTGATGGGAGCTCACTATTTTTATCCATCACCCAGCTATGATTCACTATCATCTTCCTTCTGCCTTTTATCTGGCATAATCTGATTTTGACGAAAACCTCTGGAGATCTTGGTAATCCCTGCTTGCTTTTCTAAATATTCACAAGCCAATTTTTTCATAATAAATTCTGCAATTTTGCCAGAAACCAAAGTTATGTTTATGGGCTATTTATTGACTTCATCCCCCCCTTTTCTTTTTTTTTGAAAATCCAGACGTTTGCCTTTTTGCAATTCTGTAGTAACTCTCTGACTCTACATGCACTTTCAAAGATCATTGATGGTGGGTCAGCAATCACATCCACCAGGTTTTTATTTTTAGTACCTTTGGGTATAGTGTATCTGAGGCTGATAACTTGAATTTATAAGGTGAAGTTATATTGTCTCTTATTCTCAACAGGTTTATCTTCAATATCAACTCTAGATTATTTTTCTAGTCCAAAGATCATTCTTCTTGGCAGAGGAAAGGGAAGCAAAATGGCTATTTAATAGTTCTGCCTTTTCTCTGTGTTCTGTTAGTGACATCACATCTACCCCAAGCTGTGATCCTATGTCTTCTTTAATTATCCTCTTTCCCCTAACAGAGTTTTAACAAAACTTTTTCCTTTAGTCTTTAGATTTTTTTTCTGAATAATCATAACTGGAAATTAACAGTCAGAGAAAGTAATTTGCTGTGTTCCAAAGACATGGTGGATTATTTGATATGACGTGTTAGGAAGCCATAAATCACACTGAGCTCAATAAACAGTGTCATAAACCAAAAGCATAATGAGTGTGAAGGGGCTGTGGGTTGTGCTTGGAACTATTAACAGAAATTTGCAAACACTAATACCCACAACACGATGGCCATCATAATTCATTCTTGGCTCTTCTCTTTTCTTATCATACTCTCAGCTCTCTATAGATGATTACCAAAACTACACGTATAAGCCTCAACACCCTGTGATCTCCATGTCTGAACTGGCAGCTACTTACAATGCTTCATCTTAGTGTAGTGGAAACCTTGGATTCTTGAAGACCTTGAAGACCCATCAGAGAGTAAGACCTAGAAGGTCCTACTAAACTGTAGAGGTTCCAAGTAGAAAGTTCAGTGAAGTGAGTCTATTCAATCCTGATTCTTCAGATATTCATTAAGTTTGGAAAGGCTCATCCTTGGAAGGTTGGACACTAAAGGATACCTATTTTAGTCATAGATACTCATGAAAGTGTTACAATGCTGTAGCCTGCATTGGTGAAGAGATATTCAGACTGATGAAATCCAGGATATTTTGAAGTAATGAAATAAGTATTTTTTTTAAGTTATCTGTAAATGTACAGTCTCCAAGAGGTGCCTGGAAGCTCCAAGAGATTAAGTAACTTGACCAGGGTCATCCAGCTAGATAATATGAGTCAGAGGCAAGACCTGAACTCAGATTTTGCTGATTCCAAGGCAAGTCCTCTATCTACTACACTGCACTACCTTTTCATGTAAAAAAGAGTAAGAATAAATAATAGTAATGCAACTTTTTAAATGAATATAAACAACATGTTTTTACCTTTTGGCAAAATCAATAAAAATATTTAATTTTGACATAAGACATTTTTCTCTAAGACTGAATATTATTATAAAGAAAACCAGGTAAAGTGACATAGATGTAATGGGTTTTTTTAAGCTTAATTGTGAATAAAAGAATAATTATTAAAAATACTAGGGAGCAGTTTGGCAAAAACTAGGTATAGACTAACATCTCACTGCACATAACAAGGTAAAGTTAAAATGGGCATACGATTTAGACATAAAGGGTGATATCATAAGCAAATTAGGGGAGTATGGAAAACTTTACCTGTCAGATCTATGGATAAGGGAAGAGTTTGTGACCAAACAAAAGAGAGAATCACAGGAAGTATAATGGAGAATTTTGATTGTGTGAAGTTATAAAGGTTTTGCACAAACAAAACTAATATAGTCAAAATGAGCAGGAAAGTAGGAAACTGGGGGAAAATTTTACAGTAAGTTTCTCTAATAGCCTAATTTCTCAAATATATAAGGAACTCAGTCAAATCTATAAAAATAACAGCCATTCCCCAATTGATAAATGGTCAAAGGATATGAGAAAGCAATTTTCAGAAGAAGAAATCAAACTATCTACATTTGTATAAAAATGCTCTAAGTACCTGTTTATTAAAAATGCAGATTAAAACAACTCTGAGGTATCACCTCACACCTATCACATTGGCTAACATGACAGAAAAAAAATGAAGTGCTGGAATGTGGAAAAATAGTGATACTAATGCTCTGTTGGTGGAGTAGTGAATTGGTCTAACCACTGTGGAGAACAATTTGGAACTATGCCCAAAAGGCTATAAAATTGTGTGTATCCTTTCACCTGACAATACCACTACTAGGTCTGTATCCCAAAAATATCAAAGAAAAAAAGAAAAGGACCTACATGTAGAAAAATATTTATAGCAGCTCTTTTTGTGGTGGCAAAGAATTAGAAATCAGGGGCAGTTAGGTGGTGCAGTGGATAGAGTGCTGGCTCTGGAATCAGGAAGACCTGAGTTCAAATCTGGCCTCAGACACTTGACACTTACTAACTGTGTGACCCTGGACAAGTCACTTTTAACCCTGATTGCCTTACCAAAAAACAAAACAAACAAAAAAAAAAGGAATTAGAAATCAAGGGAACCCTCATCAATTGGGGAATGGCTGAACAAGTTGTGATTGTAATGGAATACTATTGTGGTATAAGAAATGATGAGGGGTATAGTTTCAGAACAATCTAGGAAGACATATATATGTATATATGTATTATATATATATGTATGTATTATATATAAATAAATATATATGTATATATGTGTGTGTGTATATATATATATATTTATATGTATATATTTTTTAAATTTATATATATATATATATATATATATATATAGGCAAAGTGAAGTAAGGAGAACCAGGAAGGAGAACATTGTACACAGTAAAAGCAAGATTGGGATGATGACTTAGCTACTCTGATCAAGACAATGATGCAAGAAAATTCTGAAGGACTTATGTTGAAAAATGCTATCCACCTCCAGAGAAAGAACCGATGAAATATGAGTGCAAATTGAGGTATTTTTAAACTTTCTTTATTTTTCTTGCTTTTTGATGCAACATGGGTAATATAGAAATATATTTTGCATGATTTAATATGTATAATTGATATATTGTTTACTTTCTCAATAGGTGGAGTAAGGGCTGGAGGGAGAGAATTTAGAAGTCAATTTAAAAAAGGAATGTTAAAATAATAAATACATAATGAATTTTTAGAAAAAGCTAAAAAGAATAAAAAGAAAAGTAAACATTCCCCTTTGGCCTCTCCCAGGAATGTCAAGCAACAAGTTCCCATTCTGGGATACTCGTCTCCTGACTCTTGGGCATCAGACAGCATCTGGACTCCACAAACTGAGGGTCTCTGCCAGCCATTCCATCTCTCAAACAAGCAGTACTAGATCCAGGATGTATCATGCTTTGTAGGACAGGTGAGGGAAGAGAATAAGGCATTTATCCATGTCCAGTCTGGTCAAAGAGCATTTATTATTGTTTGTCATTTGTGTACAGAATGCTTCTCTCCTCTAACAGCCCAGACTCCTCACCAATATAATTATAACTGAAAATAAGTAATCATGTTCTAATATCCAAATATTCACAGAAGGTCTTCCATTCCTCCCCCTCCCCCAAATTACAGGTATACTTCTCTTTGGCAAAGGAGTGGAGGGGGAGTATTAAAGATGTTTACAATGTACTAAAATATTTTTTTGTGTTAAGAAAATGACTATGCAAGGTGTCCCAAAAATCTCAGTGAAGTTTTAAGTTTTTATTAGCTTTAAACTGCACTGAAACTTTTGGGACACACTCTTTAGTGCTCCTTGATAAAGTGCTTCATATACTTTCTAAGAAATATGGGCTAGCTTACCAAAAGGTTTTAGTCATTACCAGTAACACAGTATTGTAAAATTGAAAGAATCTCTTGCTAAATTCTAACCACAGAATCTGCTTGGTTTTTGTAGTCAAAGAATATTGCTTGATTATAACCATTATAATTACATACATGACTATTATACATAAATATATAACTAATATAGTTGTATTGTTTTATATCTATATCTATATCTAAAACAATGATTAAATTGGGAGGTGTTTTGCTTTAAAACCTCAAACAACTGAAAACAGAGTAATAGGATTAATAGGATATGGGAAAAATACAGAATATTGTACAGAGAAAGAAACACAAGAAACTCATAAGATGATGTTTTAATGAAAAGAATGGAAATCCTTTTCACATATTCCTGGAGAAAGATATGAATAGGACTATATGATAAAATGGATAGTATTTCCTAGGCCCTGTAGCCTGAGGAAAAGAACAAATAATGATGAAGTATTTATCTTTTTTGTACAATATGGGACAGATCCTGCCAGGTAGGCAAACTAGGTGTAAATTAAGAACTTCAGGAGGTATATTAATTCTTGTAGGCCTCCAGGGCATCAGCATGTTCTCTGGAGAAGTTTTGCAAATTGTACTCTCAAGTTTTAAGAGAGCTAATGAATCTCCATTAATTAGGAAGTAGATTCATTTTCATTCATTTCAATTGTTATCTTTACATATTTAAATTGTAATATTAATTAGTATTTTTATATTTAATAAGTGTTTATTTTCAAATAAATATTTCAAATATCATAAATGGGGATGAAGAAAAGTTGACATTTCATTGAAAGATCAATATGTCCTCTGAGGATATTCATTATATGAAAATATGTCCATTTGTTCATTACTTTCTTTAATCTAGGGAGGCAAATGGACTTGATGAAAGGTTACAAAGTTATTTTTATTTTTTACAGTTGATAAAATAACTGTTTATGTAGCCCTGCTTGCCTGAGGAGAGTAAATAGGGGTTCAGAGAAAAAAGGTCAATAGGAAAGATGCCTTGTTCCGTTGAACTGAATATAAATTGGGCACTGTGCTAAAGTCATTAGAAGACAAAAGAACAGATTTCTTCATTAATATTCCAGGGACTGTCATTGTTCCAGAAGCAGTTTTTGTTTAACTCTATTGAAGAAGGAAGTGAAAATGTTCAAGTTAATGAAACAAGAGCAGAGGCATTGTGGAACAAGGGCAAAATCACATCTCCAGAACACTGCCTTGTCTTTTTTTCTTAGGCTATAAGCTCACTGGAAGAGAAAAAAAGGCACAACACAAACATGTATGTGTATATACATATACACACCTATATATATATATATATATATATATATATATATATATATATATATATATATATATGTATATAAAACAAGAAGCTCCTCTAGATTTATAACATGAATGTGTCATTTTATATTTGACATGACTGTTAGAACAAAGTCATTTTCAAACACTATATTGTTGTAATGTGGAAAATGAAGTCTGAATATCGTAGAGAGAACTGCTTAGGACAGTACACTCTTTGAAAATGGTGCAATAATGCTGGTATAGTCAATAGAAGGGTGGATAGATATGACCAACTGGTTATGTTATCACAGAACATAATTTTTGTCCATGGCCTTTTTGCTGCCCTGCTAGCCAGTAAAGTTGTTTGTAAGCTACAAAATTCAGAAAAAAAGCAAACAGGATCAATGTAAATAAGGAGAGCCTGACCTTCAATTCAAATGGTTAAACAAAATGGAAAAGTTTCAAGAATGTATCCCACTATCAAAAGCTGCACCATAGGACAAACTGACATAGTGAATAATCATTTCTGTAAGAGGTTCCTGTTAAGTACTTGGCTTGTAGTGGTTTTGGAAGTATAAGAGATGAGTGCTGTGTGACCCTAAAGGAGCTTATGATTTAATTAGAAAGATGAGCCTACAAAACACTTGAGATGGAAAACAATACTAGAGAATGAGCCAAAGTCATGAAGAATATTGGATACCTTTGTTTCTGTTTTTATTTTTTTTTAAGTTAGGCAGTGGGGGTTAAGTGACTTGCCCAGAGTCACACAGCTAGAAAGTGTTATGTGTGTGAGGTCAGATTGGAACTCAGGTCCTCCTGACTTCAGGGCCAGTGCTCTATCCACTGCGCCACCTAGCTGCCCCAAAGAGTGAAGAATTAAGGGCTACATTCAGGACTTTAAAAAAGGAAGCAAAGGTATTAAATATTTACATTAAATTGACATACAAGATGTAAAAAAATTAAATTAATAATTTTTTTTATTATTTTTGTTATTATTTTCATAAAACTGCTAACTTAAAATCAATAGCTTTTTAAGCTAAAAAAGCTTAAAACTGCACTGAGACTTTTGGGACCCCCTAGATGTCACTTTCAGGTTGACACAAGTGCTTCTTCCCTCACTGTAATCCCATGAGCAGAGAGGAGGGCAGGGATTATTATTTCTGTTTTTTGATGAGGAAACTGGGGCTCCAGAGAAGTTAAGGGATTTACTCAAGGTCACACGCAAATGACCAGAGCCAGAATGTGAAGCCAGGTTTCTTATCTCCAAGTCCAGTGTTCTTGTTTTTAAACTGCCTCAACTTAGCACAGAAATCTCTTAAAACCTATCGATCAACGATTATTTATTAATCACCTATGATAAACTAGGCACTGAGGATATAAATCCAAAAAATGAAACAATCCTCACTTACAATGAGTTTATATTTTAATGGAGAGTGTGATGGAAGTTGAGGGGGGAGGGAGGACACACACACACACACACACACACACACAGAGCTTAAATAAACTTTCCTTATCTGTAAAATGGGAATAATAATAGCACCTGCCACCCAGGTTGCTTAAAGGATTAAACGACTGTATTTCTAAAACACTTTGTAAACCTTAAAGAACTACATAAATTTCAGCTATTATTATTATTAATTTATAAATATACATGTATACACACAAAAAGTTTTGTGTAAGGTGGTTTAGGGGGAAGGTATTAGCAACTGTGGGATCAGAAAAGACTTCATACAAATAGCAGTGTTTGAAGTTTTTTGGTTTTTTGTCTTTTTGTTTTTGGTGAAGCAATCAGGGTTAAGTGACTTGCCCAGGTTCTCACACAGCTAGTAAGTATCAAGTGTCTGAGGTAGAATTTGAACTCAGGTCCTCCTGACTCCAAGGCCAGAGCTCTATCCACTGTGTGACCTAGCAGCCCCTGAAGTATTTCTTAAAACGAGAGAGGGATTTAATAAAAGTCCTTTAAAACTAATTTGACTTTAAAAACTCATAAAATGTTAGCTCTCTTTGAGTGGTGTGTTTGGTAAATTCTTGGTTTTGGAAATTGATTCAGATTTTAAAAAACAAAACAAAACAAATTTTATTATGTAGCATAGGTTTCTGTATTTGGGAAGGTCCATCTTTAAACGTGTTCATTCTAGCACGAGTCTTATCATCAGTCAATAAACATTTAAAAAGTGCCTACTCTGGATGAGTCAATGCCTGTGCTAAGTCCTAGGAATTCAAAGAAAGGTAAAAGACAACCCTTGTCCTCAAAGAGCTCACAGTCTTATGAGGGAGATAAGAAGCGAACAACTCTGTACAAATACATTTGAAATAATAAATAGGAGGGAGGCACTAAAATTAAGGGTAATTGGGAAAGGCTCCCTGTAAAAGAGGACCTGAATGAAGTCAGGAAAGCCAGTAGCTGGAGATGATGAAAGAGAACATTCCAAGAATCAGGAGAGCCAGTGAAAATGCTCAGAATCTGGAGATGGAGTGTCTTATTGAAAGAACAGCAAGAAGGCCAGTGTCACTGCAGGAGGGGCTTGTCATATTCCTCTACTACTTAGATCTAAATAAGTCTAAACTTTATTTATGTATGTTAAGTTTTATGTACAGAAATAATTTATTTCCAAATAATAAGTTCCTCTTCAAATACAACTTTGGGAAGTCTTTAAATTTAATATCTAAACACATTTCATTCAAAACAATACAAAAAAGAATAATCAAATCACTTTTTTACGAAAGGAAAAGGTTTTTTGAAAAAAAAATTGCTACACTGTTTTAATTCAGTATGAACTAAATAAAAATTATGTAACTTTTTGCTTTCAAATGAAGAAAATTTTTTTAAGTAACTTTTTTTCCTTGAGAGGAAATGTGGTTCAGTGGATAGCAAGCTGGCCTCAGAGTCAGGAACATGTAGGTTCAAATCTTGCCTTTCACAGAGACTATCTGTGTCACCCTGGGCAACTCACTTTAGCTCCCATAGCCCTTGGCAACTTTTAGAGACTAAATAGCCAAGCAGTCGCTGATCTGAATTGGTAGAGGGAGCTTCTCCTCCTCCAGATGTTCCTTATCCCAGTGAACCCAAAAGATTTAAAAACAAACGAACAATAAAAAACAACCCAAAGCTTTTTTTTTAGGTTCTTAAGTCTGACAGTTGATGTATAAGTCAGTCAATAGATAGGCCAGCCCATTTTCTTTTCTTACATATGACCCTTAACACACATGTTACATATATACACACACTACATGTATGTACAATACAATGCCGTTTAAGAAATTTATCTAGCTTATGTAAACTAATTCTGAGAACACAGGGCACATTTTCCTGGGTTCTGAAACTTCTACCTAAAAGGGCTTGTTATAATATCCAGTATCCAGTGACTATCAGAATACTTAATCACTCAATAAATGAACATTTATTAAGTGCCCACTATATGCCAGGCACTATGTTAAGATAAAGAGATACAAAAAGAGGCTCAAGTTGTTTACAATGTATTGGGAGACACAACATGCATATAAGTTCTTTCTCTCCTCTCTCTCTCATATATTACATATATGATACAGTAAATAGGAAAAATACTATATAATATAATAAATATGAATGATAATATAAAATAAACATATAACTAATGTTATGTTGCATAATATGAAATATGATAAATAGGAAATAATTAACAGAAGGAAAGGACTGTAATTGACAGGGTTTAGGGTAGGCTTCCTGTACAAGGTGGGATTTTAGGTGAGATTTAAAGAAGCCAGGGGGTCAGTAGTCTGAGTGGAGATGGAAAAGCATTCCAGGTATAGAGAACAACCAGAGAGAGAATTACATATATAATTCCATAGCTTTTTTTGTAAAGTACATGTACAACTTAGCAATTCATAGGGATAGAGGGGAATTTGCGATTTTATTAATGTGGGAAGTCCTGCAAGAGCAAATTCTGTCTAAACAAAGCAAGTCATCACCCTCCTTGCAAGTCATAGAGAAAATTGCTAATGCAATGGGAAATTAAGTATATTGTTTAGGGTTACACAGCTATTTTTGTTTTTGAAACTGAATTTAAACCCGAGTCTTCCTGACTTCAAGACTGAGTCTCGGTCCACTGTACCATGCTGACACTTAGCAATGCATATTTTATTTAATGTACACAGGGTATACTTTTGGAAACAACCTCTAAAATTATGTTCCTTTATTATTTTATTAATTTCCTTCAATAGGTATGTAAGCTCCATGCTGCTGATATTCACTCTACTGATACAGATGTAACTTCTCTATGCCTCCTCATCTTGAGTGACTTTTGATCACACCCTGCCATAAACCATCCTTGTGGTGTTCATGTGAGAGCACAGAGGTCTTCATTTAGGTCTTTTGGCATTACCAATGCAGCACATAGGCCGTCTGTTGTCTTTCATAGTTGCCATGTGAGCAGCACATCTCTATTTCTAGTCCTTTTTCTCTTTGACATGTTTTAAATGCTTTTTCTATGTTGTTGTTGTGTAACTTGTCATGGAAATATGCTGTCACCTATCTATGACCACCACGTGTCTATTTCCCACAATTCCACCACTATTCCCCCACAATTCTGATTCCTCAGTGATTGTGGCATTCCATGATTTTCAACCATATTACATCACCAAAAAATACTGGTAATAAAAAGATATGTTTCTGTCTTAGCAAGTAGCTTGAGATCACTGAGAATCCTGTGCAATGCAGTCCAGTCTTCTTTCTTCCTGCTCTTTAATCATAGGCGCAATTCACTGTCCATTTGTAGTGTCATCAAGACGTATTTATTGATGGACCAGATCAATGGGTTTTCCATCCAATTGTGTATGTGCAGTCTGAACCACAGATTTTCTTTGTCCACTTGGCATTTCCAGGGTGGATAATCTGATCTAACTCTTCTGAGTGATTGTGAATTTCATTGAGAAAGCTCAGCAATATCCCTGAGAAATCAACTTAATGACAATTATAATCTGCAGGGTATCATTCTCTATTGGGAAGCCCTTTTTTCCATTTGTTTTCTCTACTGAACAGCCTCCACAACAATGACCACAGTCTACCTGCTTTGGGTACAGTCTACCTGCTTTGTGTCTTACTTCATAACTAATCCTCTGAGGATCAGACAAGCTCATCTTTGTTCTCACGTTAGTCAAGGAATCTTTAATGATCATAACATATGAATCAGAGACACACTTTTAAAAGAGAGACTTTGAGATCATGTCTTGCTTTGCAAAAAAAAAATGCAAGATCATCTCTCTGTACCTTTGAGTCAACTGGTCTATTGCTAAGATGTTGCCTAATGCAGAAAATCATTTTCAAAATTTTTCCTTTTACCTTCTTATGTTTTTATTAATGGTACCCTTTGTATATATCTAAATGATTTTTGTAAAGATGTTGCAGGGTTGGGAAAGGAAGCATATGCACTGGTATTTAATGATACCCTTTCCATTACTTTGCTTTGGTGATAATAGCTTCTGAGATTTTCCTCCAATCATCTAATATCTTCCCCTCTTTCTGACATCTTGAAATTTGATTCCTTAATACATTCAAAATGTTGTTGCCTTAAGCATGAACTCCCTTTGCATATGCTTGGTCTATTCCAGCTGCTTTTCCTATTTTTTTTTTCCCTTTGGTGGTTTTTTTTTGGGGGGGGGTTTTGGTGCAATTAGGAATTGTGATGTCCCCAGTGTTCAAAGGTGGTGACTCCACTGTATCGATGGAGAAAGTTAGTTTACCGCAGGAATCCTGACAGATCTTTTCTATTTTTCCTCCATTATCTTCAATTTGATATTTCAATGCTCTGACGTTTTTTCTCTTATTATTCACCAATAATCTTCACATCTTCTTTAGGCTTTGGTAATTTGGTAATGTCTTTTTTTAGGTTTTGGTTATTTTCTTCTTTTTAATTTTTTATTAACTTGATTATAGATACAAATTATGATGGAGAAGCATGATCATAGAAGGACCGTGTGGGAGTTGCAGAGTATGTTAGAAGTCATCTGACCCAAACCCTTTGTTTTACAGGTGAAGACACAGGACAAGAAAGGGTATATTTGTTCAAAGTCTCAAAAACAGTGAATTGCAGGACTGGGACTCAAACCTGCTTCTTCTGATCTGAAATTCAGGGCCCTCTCTACCTCTCCACACTGACAGCCTAGTCTCACAACAGGAGACAAATGAAGGAGCTTTACTTTTGAAAACAAATAACAAAATGAAGGATTTTTAATACTGCTGAAGTAATGGCAAACAAATCTGTAAGTACCTGGGTGGTTCAGGAATCAGTTTGTTTCAGCACAAAGCCTTCAGACTTTTCTTCAGCCATGCAAGAAACTGAAACATTCTTATTAGCCAGAGAAAGGCAGTATGGTGTGGTAGATAGAGAGCTGGCTAGGAACTGGGACCATTCATGTTGAAGGCCTGCTTCTCTGACATATGCTGGTTCTATGACCCTGGGTATGTTATTAACCTCTCTTGGCTTCAAGGCAATTGTCTAAGACTGCAAATTGCAAGAGAAGGTGATGACCTGAATTGGCAGAAAGTTACTCATCTGGGGCTCCCTAAACCAATAGAACTGATGGCTCCAGTTTCTATTCTTATTAGCCTGTTACTAAAGAGACTGGTTGGACAATGGTGACAAGAAACAAAGATGTGTTTTTAAGCAAAATACTTGATTAGAGCAACTCCTAAATCCAGAGCAGTGAGGTGGCAGATAGAGTGCCAGGCCTAGAGTCAGGAAGACCTGAGTTCAAACCTGGCCACAGAACCTTCCTAGCCACAGTGTAACCCTGGGCAAGTTGATTAACTGCCTGCCTCAGTTTCTTCATCTGTAAAATGAGCTGGAGAAGGAAATGGCAGACTATTTTCCAAGAAAACCCCAAATGGAATCACAGCTGAAATGACTAGACAACAGCAAATCCACCTAATTCCCCAATATGCGCAGATGTTCATTTCAATTGTTTCAAGTTTCAGGGACAAAAACATGTTGACTTTGTTCCATTTTGAGGGTCCTTCTACTAATTCTGTGACAATTCCTATTATTCAACAAACATTTATTAATTGTCAACTCTGTGTAAGGATAGAAGCTTGGGATACAAATATAAATAGTCCTTGCCCTCAAAAGGCTTGTACTTTACTGGGAGGTATAGCACCTACACAGAGAAGTAAATATGACATAATTAGAGGAGGAAGAGAGCATGATTAATTAGGGGGAGCAGGAAAGGCTTGTACAGCAAGTGCCATCTGAGCCAAGCCTTGAAGGAAAGCAAGGGTTCTAAGGAGAGAGAGGTGAGGAGGGGGACGTTCCAACTAGAGGGACAGCCTGTTCAAAAGCTTATAGGAAGTGATGGAGCACTGAGTTTGGGGAATAGCAAGGAGGCCATGTTGGTTCTACTAAGAATGAATCAAGTGGCAAGGTTTTATGAAGCACCTCTGTGATCCAGGTACAATGCCAGGCGTTGTGGGTACAAATACAAAAGCAAAATATTCACTGCCCTCAGGGGGCTTACATTCGAACAGGAGAGAAAACAGGAACTATGTACATGTACTTGTATATTTATATGTATATGTGCCTGTACCTACACACAGGCACATGCGTGCACACATAGGCACAGAAAACACATACAAAACAGATACAAGGTAATCGTGGATTGGGATGTGCACTAGGAGTTGGGGGTCCTCAGAGAGGCCTCAAGGAGAAGCTATTGTTTGAGCTAAGTCTTGAAGCAGACATGAGAAGAGAGAGGTGGTGGAAGACAGATTGTCTTTCGTGAGGCTAACACAATTATTCTATGTTGTTGTTCAGTTGTTTTTCAGTTGTGTCCAACTCTTTGTGACCCCATTCAGGGTTTTGTTGGCAAGAATACTGGAATGGTTTGCCATTTCCATCTCTAGCTTATTTTACAGATGAGGAAACAGAGGCAAACAGGGTTAAGGGACTTGCCCTGGGTCACACAGCTACTAAGTGTCTGAAGCCAGATTTGAACTCATGAAGATGAGTATTCCTGACTCCAGACCTAGCACTCACTTTACCTATTATGTCACCCAGCTGCCCTGGATTTAGGAAGAAGGAGGCAGGATTTTGGGCAAAGTTCCATTTTTAGACATGTCAAATTTTAGTTCCCTATTGGACAATCACATGGAAATGTCCATCAGGCAACTGGTGAAACACCAGCACTAATAAGAAATTTTAGGTTTAGATATATTTGGGAGTCATCTGTATATAAATTATAACTTAGAATGGATATATATAGAGAGAGAGAGACAGAAGGGCCAGATGGATGACGATTCTACAAAGGGGCCTGAGAAGGATCAGACAGCATGATAAGGGGAGAACCATAACAGAGCTGTGTCACAAAAGCTTGGGCAGCAGGAAGTATCCATTAAAAGGAGGTGGTTAACAGCATTTAAAAGCTGTAGAGAGATGAAAATGGAAGAGAAATGAGAAAAGGCCGTCACATTAGCAAATGAGGTCATTGGTAACCTTAGAGAGAGCAGTTTCAGTCAAATGAGTAAGTAGGAAATAGGACTGCAAAGGTTGAGAAGTGAGTGAAGAAATGGGAGTCATGAATACAGACATCTTTCTCCCTCTTAAGATTTAGCTATGTAAGGGGTGGCAGGCATAGGGAGCTACAGCTTGAGAAGTCAAAGGAAGTATTTTTCTTTTTTAAAATTTATTTATTTTTAGTTTTCAGCATTTACTTCCACAAGATTTTGAGTTCCAAATTTTTACCCCATCTAGCCCCTCCCCGCACCCCAAGGTGGCATGCATTCTGAATATCCTTTCCCCCTGTCTGCTGTCCCTTCTATCTCCACCCCCTTCTCTTATCTCCTTCCCCTTCTATTTTCCCGTAGGGCAGGATAGATTTCTGTACCCCATTTCCTGTACTTCTTATTTCCCAGTTGCATGCAAAAACTTTTTTTTAAACTTGTATTTTTAAAACTTTGGGTTCCAAACTTTCTCCCTTCCTTCCTCCCCACCCACCCTCATTGAAAAAGCAAACAACTCAATATAGCTTATACATGTGCAGTTATGCCAAATACTCAAAGGAAGTATTTTTCACTCTTAACACCGACCGTTCCTGTGTCATTTTTTCATCTTTGACGCATCTGTACTATTGTCCGATGTGCCAGGAGTCAAGGTGCAGTTAAAGTAGCACTAGACTAAGAGGTCCCTCCAGACCTGTTACCCATCTGCCTATGGGCAAATCCCTTAATCTCTCTTAGCCTCTGTTTCCCTGTTTGTAAAATGGCAGTAATAGGAGTTGCACTCTGGACCTCAAAGGATTATAAATGTCCTTTTGTTGTTTTAACTTTTTTGAACTATTCTTTTTCTTAAAGAGCTAATAATGAGAAAAGTTTCACTTGCTATAGCACTTAGGAGTCCAAAATGATATTTAACTGGAATGGAAGCTCCTAGAGGGTAGAGCTATTTTATTACCATCTTTATATTCCCAGTGTCAGACACAGCGCCTTACACACAGTAAGCACAATAAAAATTTCATTGTTTTTTTGTTGTTAATAAGAAATGATCCATTTTCATTCACTCACTTTTCTATCTGCCTTCCATGATGCTGAATTCATCATTTATTTTCTATTACTAAGGCAACAGAAAAATCTTGTTTTTGTTTTTTTGCTGAAATATAATGTTTCTGACATTGGCTTTGCTCCAAAATGATCAAGTTGGTCGTGATTTCTTCATAGTCTATATCCTCCCGGGTGTATTCCATTCACTCTGAAATCTCTTATCATTTCAGTTCAAAGAAAAGAATAAAAACTACTTATATTAAAAAAAAAGGTTTACTACAATAGTCATCCTGTGATTTTGTGAAATTTTTAAAAAAATATTTATTTTATATTTTATTTATTTTTAAAAAATTATTATTTTATTTAATTTTTAAAAATTTATTTAATTTTTAATTTATTTACTTATTTGAATGAAAACAATTTTTGAAAATTGAAAACTAATTTTTTTTTCATATAGTCCTACAACATCCCATCTCCCAGGAGAAGAAAAATAAGATTTTCACTCAAAATGTTGTAGTACTGATTAGTATTTTGTTTGTAGAATATCTATTCTGAGAAATTATTTAGAGGAAAATTACATTTGTTTTTTCTCTCTCCCTATAGTGAAGGCAGTATCTCCTTTCACTTTCCCTGCTTCTAATTCTTTCTCATGCTTTTCCATTGGCCACTTGAAAAAAATGCAAACAGAAAATTTATATTTATACAATTCTACATTCATATTTATTTACTTTTTTGATACTTCACATTCTCTTGGTTCCTACCCAACATAAAAATAAGTAAATGCCAGAAATATGCCTCTAAATCAATCCAAATAATGAAATGGATTCTAGGCACTCTGAAACTGAGTAGCAATAAAATTGCATAAAACAATGAAATGCCATAAAAAGTCTCTGTGTCTTCTTTTCCTTCTCACTCCCCTTTTAAAAAAAACTCTCAGAATATAAAAAGGAAAACTGTAGATGGTAGGACATATTATAGGATATATTACATTTGAAACTATCGATCTTTCTGAAACAGCTTATCCAAATATGGCAAGCTAGGTGGCACAGTACATAGAATGCGGGGTCTGAACTGAGGAAGACTCATCCTTCTGAGTTCAAATCTGAATTCAGACACTTATTACCTGTGTAACCCTCGGCAAGTCACTTAACTCTATCTGCCTCAGTTTCCTCCTGTGTAAAATAAGCTGGAAAAGGAAATGGCAAACCGCTCCAGTATCTTTGCCAAGAAAACCCCAAATGGGGTCATGAAGAGTCAGATATGACTAAATGCCTGAACAACAACAACTTCTCCAAATGATGACATAGGTCATAAAAGATAGTTTATTAGAATCAAAACATAGGATAAAATATTTTGTAGGAGGATAGTCAGGCAGTTCCATAAAGCCTTTGATATTTTTTTCATCCCAATAATCCAGGACCTTTCTCTTCTAGACTCCACGTGAAAATTAATCTGAGTTCTTCCCAATTTCACATGGGAATTTAGTATTTGTTTGTTTATTGTTTGTTTTACCATTTCTTATTTCCTTGGTGATGATTTTGCTGGAGTCATAATCAGGAATTTTTGTGACCAGGACATGTGTGACAAAGCCTTTCCTGGGTGGGGTAGGAAGAGTCCGAGAACCCAAAATACTGGTGTAAGATGGGGAGAACCAGGGAAAGCAGAGTTAGAGACGAAAATCACCCCATCCACCCCCTGGTAGGTTTTGACAAAATGTAATACCCGTTTCCATTAAGACCACTAGAAAATCTGTTTTAACTAATTATTCTTGCTAATTAGGTACTAAGCTCTGTTGAAGGACTACAACTGCTCTTGGTATCCTCTACTTTCAATACCCTTTACATTTGCTGCCCTGGATAGTGTCCCAGTTATCCCACCCTGATTTGGATTGTGTCTATCCTATAAAACTTTTATTGGGGGGAAAAAAAGCAAAAATAAAAACAAAACATGAAGTAACAGTTTGCATCATCTGGTCAGCACAATGTGGACTTGAAATAAAGAAGATCAAAGTCCAGATTCTGCCTCAGATATGCTCTAGCTGTGTGATCCTGCTCAAGTCACCTAGTCTCTCGGACTCACCTTGCTCATCTACAAAATGGGAATAATAACAACACTTAGCTCACAAGGTTGTTGCAAAGATGAAAGGAGATAACATATGTAAAGTGCTTTGCAAATCTTAAAGTGTCATATAAATGCTAGCTATTATTATATCTATCCAAGATTATTGCTCATTCTGTTTACTTCCTAAGAAGAAATATTTCCAAACTAAGGTTTATTTTCACCTATATGTCATTTGAAAAGAGCTACTTAAAAAAGACCATTTTTTGCCTTTTAAAGAAAGCAACAAAAGGTCAAAAATTTTGGATAAAACTTTGTCAGCTTACTATTTTCAAGTGCCATTTGGGTAATTCCAAATACTCCAATATTGAGTATTACCATATGACTAGCATACATGGTCACCTTCCCCCCTTTTCTATTTTTATTTTTTCCTGGGAGAGAAAGAAGCATGCTTTCTATGCATGGAAATTGAAGAAGGTGGTTATTTTCTGTTCCTCAGTCAAAACTGATGCCATTTTGGTGAAGTGGTCTAGAAAGAATTTTTCTTGCCTAGAAGATGGAGGCTTATTGGTAATCTCTGCTAGGGCCCCTGATTACAAAGAAGAGGGCAACCATGCAGATAGCACAGAAGCTATCAGGCCTGGAGGTTACAAGTATCATCCCAGCCACGCCACTTTGGAAACTGCATTTGGGAGCCATACTGGCCATGTGAGTAATGGGTAGAAGACAGCAGATAGCAGCCAATCACCTTCCAAGAAGAAAACCAAAGTTATCCACAAGGATGTCTCACTTGCATATATTCCCCAGCCGTAAAGGGTCCTTGCACTACCTGAGTTCTTTGTAAGAAACTGTACTCATCTGGGACTGGGCTGATGTTGTTTTCATCTCTTTATTGTCCCAATTGAATGTTTTCTTATTCAGTATTGTTCCTTACCTGGGTCCATTAGCATCATAAATTATCCAATTCAGAAATCCCACCCAGCACCATCCCAACCACCCCTATGCCTATAGGCTAAAGGTCAACAATGGGAGTTATGGGATCCAGGCAAAAGAAAGATAGGCTGTTAAGATTTCATTGGCTCCTTTGTTTCATCAGAGTATTATGTACACAGAGTTGCCATAGACACTGAGGTGTTTGCTGGGGGGAAGGGAAGTCATGGTCCTGGCATTCATGGAACTTAGGGGGAATTACTGGTGGATTGATGGTCACAGCTTTTTGTATTTTATGCCAGGTCAATCTGCTGTGACTTTGCAGAGTACATGTTGTGGTTCAGTTATTTTGGCCTCTTCATGACCCCTTTTGGAGTATTCTTGGCAAAGATACGGTATGCCATTTCCTTCTTCAGCTCATTTTACAGATGAGGAAACAGAGGCAAACAGGGTTACTGTGACTTGCTCAGGGTCACACAGGTAGTAAGTGTCTGAGGCTGGATTTGAACTTAGGTCTTCCTGATTCCAGGCCCAGCAGTAGGCAAACAGAGGTCAAGTGACTTGCCCAAGGACATACAACCAGTATGAGTCTAAGGTCAAATCTGAACTTAAGTCCTCCTGATTTTAGGCCCAGCACTCTATTAACTGTGCCACCTAGCTATGCCCTACAGAATCCATAGCTCTTCTTTATCTTTCAAGCTATGTTTCAGTGTACCATTGAAATATTTTCTACCCACTCTCCTTCTAATTCAATTCCCCTTACTTTGTGCAAACATGGTTTTCATACTTATAAGTGCTGAAGGACTTGGAGCTCTGGTTTAGCACAAGTTACCAATTTGAGAGTTCTATCACTGAAGACATCTAAGGGGGTGTAATGAATAGGGCATTAGACTTGCAGTTAAGAAGATCTGAGTTCAAATCTGGCCCCTGGTACTCACTAGTTATGTGACCCTGGGCAAGTCATTTAACTCTTCTAGTCTCAGTTTAATTATCTGTAAAATAGGGATAATAATCACTGGTACCATACAGGATTTTTGTGAGAATCTAATGAGATTAATACGCAAAGTGCTTTGCAAACCTTCAAAGCTTATGTAAATGCTACTTATTAACCATTATTACTCCATGTGTCTAAGTCAAAAAAGCTCCAGTTCAGTAAGCATAGATCAGTGCTTTAGGGATTTCCCTATTAGTATTTCAGCTCAGCAAAGCAAGTAATTTCAAGTGTAGAACACCTTGAAAGATTAGTCAACAAAATGAACCTGAGGACGTTTATAGCAGGAACATGATGCTTTTTTTAAACTCTGGGGTGCAGTATCAACTTTTCATCTAGGACTTTCTAATCTAAGACATGATGACAACGGAGATGCAGGGAAAAAAGGCTGTCCCATTAAAGAAGTCTGATCCACTGTCAAGGACAAGAGGCGTATTCTTCAACAGGAAAACTGCTTACTGTTCTTTCCAGAGCTTGCCATTCATTCCTCAAAGCAGAAATGATTCTCTAGGCATTACGATAGCCCCGCAATAGGCCTGTCATGACCCACAGGCTTTTAAAATCTCAGAGACAGACAGAGAGAGACTCTCATTCCATCTTCCCGACTGTAATTGTTCAAATGCTTTGTTCAGGGGCTGTGTTTTAAACAAATCTGGGGACCTTAAAATAGCATGGCATGCATTTCACCCAATTACTGTCTTATCTAACTCAGAAAGCATTCTTTAGGGTAGGGTAAATATTTTCTTTATGGTGACTACTTTACCTCTTTGTATGACAGTCAGTGAAAACATAGAATAGCCTAATACTGCAAAATCCCCCAAACTATCAATTTAACAGCCAAGAATATGATATATCATATGGAAGGATCTGTTGCCATATTCACTGCAATTCATAACTGGAACAGTTATCTATTCTCATTTGCCAGGGCAAAGAGAAGAGGATGAAGAATTTAAAGACCTCCATGAATCCCTTGGCTACTGAAAACAAGATAATCATTTAATTTTGGGAGCTACGGAGTTAAAGAAAGTATGCACAGGAATGACAGATGCTGTTGCCACCAGGAGCAAGTCATGTTTTTATATTAACCTTATTCCACCAAACATTTAATTAAATCCAATTTAAACATTTATTGGCCACCTTCTCCAATAAAATGAGGCACTTCTTTCTCCTGTGGGGCCACAGTGTGGTCTTAAGTTTACTCTGGGCTCTGGAAGGCCATGGTAACACAGCACAGACACTGGGAGGTCCTAACAAAATGTGGTGCTGTTATCTAAGGATTTTTAAAGTCCTGGAGGAGAAACACTCTGCTAGGCACCAAGGGGAATAGGTATGTAAATAAGACGTGGGCTCTCCAATTAATTGCCCTATAACAAGTAGGAGAATTATGACCAGTATATACCACTGTAAGAAATGTTAGTATCATGGAAGCAATGTCACACTTCGGACAAAGTAGGCCTCAGAGCAAGGCAGCCAGGGAGAACAATGGAGAAAGCACTTAGCCTGGAGTCAGGAAGACCAGAGTTCAAATCCAACCTCAGACACTTCCTATCTATGTGACTCTGGACAAGTCACTTACCCTCTTTGCCTCAGTTTCCTCAACTATAAAATGGGGAAAATTACAGTACCTACCTCCCAGGGTTGTTGTGAGGATTAAATAGGTGCTTAATTCCCTTCCTCTCTTCCCCTCCTCTGTGTGTGTGTGTGTGTGTGTGTGCGTGTGTGTGTGTGTGTGTGTGTGTGTGTGTGTGTGTGAGTGATCAGCTCTATGGAAGTCAATTCCCTTCTGAGTGCCCCCAGGCAATTCTCTAAGATTCCAGGTTGCAGAGTAATTACTGACCTGCATTGGTAGAGAGAGTATCCTCAATGGAGTTTTCTCTATTAATGAAATCATAGGTTCAGTCCCCAACCCTGTTAATGTCATGCAAGAGAAAGGGTTCAAAGTGCTATGAGAATAAAAGATGAAATATGTGATCTTGATTAAATAAAAAAAATTAGATAAATTAAATAAAACTAATCTAAGATCAGAAAAAAAAACACTTGCATTAAATGAATCTAAAAAAGTCTGACATCCAAAATTTATAGAGAATTGCTACAAATATATAAAATCAAGAACCATTTCCTATAAGACAAATAGTCAAAAAGCATTTATAGTTTTCAAAAGAAGAAACACAAACTATCAATAGCCCTCTAAAAAATTCAAAATCATAATAATCAGAGAAATGAAAATTAAAACAATCCTAAAGTTCTACCACTTTATACCCATTAAACTAACAAAGATATTAAAAGATGAGAAAACATTGTTGGGAGGATTACAGGAAGACAAGGAATGCTAAACCACTGCGTTGGGGGTTGTGAATTGGTTTGGTCATTTTGGAAATCTATTGTGAATTATGCAAGTAAAGTGACTAAATTATTTATGTCTTTTGACTCCAAGATCCTTTTATTGGGACTACATTCCATGAAAGTTACTGAGAATGAGAACAGACAAATATGTCTTAAAATATTCATAGCAACATTATTGATAGTAACAAAAAGCTGGAAATAAAATGCACACCCAGTGATTGGGCAATGGCTGAACATCTTGTAATCTATAAACATAATGGAATATCACTATATGGTAAAAGATGACAAAGAAGAATTCAGAGAAACATAGTACAACTTGTATCAAGTGATATAAAATTAGGAAAGGGCCAAAAGAGCAATACAATGACGGCACCTGTAAATAAAATCAACTGAGGCACCCAACTGGTTGAAGCTAGGAGAAAAAAAAAAGCTCAAGTAGATGCTAAAATATTTATAGCAGCACTTTCTGTAGTAGCAAAGAACTGAAAACAAGGTAGATGCCTATTGAGTGGGGCAAGCAGTGGTAAATGAATAAAATAAAATATTATTGCATTTCAAGAAATATGATGAATACAGAGAAGCATGGTAAGTTTTATAAGTTGTGAAAAGTGAGATAAACAGAACCAGGAAAACCATCCATGTGATGACTACCACAATATAAACAGAAAGAACAACAATAAAACAAATAAAATTGAATACTGTGAAATTATAATGACCAATTTGGCCCCACAGAACAGATGTGAAAATGCACTTCCCTCTTGTCTTTATAGGTGGTGGGAAATAATGGATGTGGAAGTGCATTTAATGTTGGCCCTGATTGATATGCTGGTTAGGTTTGCTGAACTTATTTTCTCCTTTTTATTCTTTGTTATAAGGGATGGCTCTCTGAGAGAGAAAAAGAAAGGGAAAGAGGGGAGGATGTTTGAAATGCAGATAATGTAAACACTTGCTGTTAGTGAATAGAATATCCAGACTGCAAGAGTCAACAAGACTCATCTTCCCAAGGACAAATCCAGCCTCAGACACTTATTAGCTGTGTGACCCTGGGCAAGTCACTTAACCCTGTTTGCTTCAGTTTCTTCATCTATAAAATGATCTGGAGAAGGAAATGGCAAACCACTTCAAAATCTTTGCCAAGAAATCCCCAAATAGGGTCACAAAGAGTCATATACAACTGAAAAACGATTGAACAACTGAAAATGTAAATATAGACATAAAAATTTATTTTAAAAAATAAACATGTTAACATATAGCATAGATTCAATTTCTCTCATAAGCACAACAGTGCCTCAGTCATAACCAGCTTTTATCCTACAGTCTGAAATGGCTTTGATTCCAGAAGATTATCAGTGAGAAATTTAGGTTAACTGAATAAATGGTTAGGAAAAGTATACTAAAGAAACCCTAGCAATTCATACCTCCTTCAGTGCAAGTCTGCAAGCTACTTTTGAATAAAACAAAAGTTTGATAAGTATTTTTTAAAAAGAAAGTTATACTTGGGTCATATGGATTTAGATGAGTTAACCACAAAAAGTTTGTTGGAGTTCTAGTAGATTTTATTTCAAACATATCGAATAACTTTTGACTCTAAATTAGTAGGTTCTGTATATACACAGTAAATGCATGGGACCAAAGATCAGAAGTCAATGAGAAAAATACTCCTTGAGTACCCACATCATTAATCACTAAACTAAGGAAAGGCAGGAATAAAAACATCATTAGCTAAAAGAGCAAAAAAAAATTTAAAAATCTCATTTCTTGTTAAATTCTTAAATTTGTTATTATTTGGATAAAGTTAACACATGTGTATGTATCGTACAATTTATAAGTGGCTTTTGCAATTTCAGATGTGTCCACTGAGAAGCAATACTGTTTAACCCTGGGGGCGCTGTTGCTGCTTCATTTTTGGCTCTTTCTGTGGCCAAGATTTTAAATACCAGTTTACCAAATTAGCTTCAACTGAGTGATAGTTTAGTATTGAATACTAATGAGAACGAAACTCCACTAAAATCAACTGATATTCATCCTTATGTAAATCAAAATTTAGACTTATTAGAGGTAAAGTAGAATTTTTATATTTCACTTTTAATTATTTTGATATTTTCTTTTCTTTCCTCTTTTTTTAAAGAATGGATTCTCTCACATAGCATAAAAGTTAACAAGCATTTATTAAGCATTTTGATGTGTCAGGCACTGTGCTGAGTGGTATTTATTTAAATAGATTTTCAAGTTCTTGTGGTATTTATGATTACATATAAACATGTATTAATATTCACTGAGAGGCTGGTGGACGATGGGGGATTTTAACAAGAAGAATATTTTTTTTTCCCCAAAATACAGAGTGTTTTACTTTTTGGTCCTTATTTAAGACTTCAAAGATTATATCAAAAAAGGAAATTGTGACATATTTCATTTTATGTCCTTCCTCAAAGGAAATCAAAACATTTTTCTTCCTCTAAACTAATACTCAATCCTATGGCATTACAGAAAATGATAATAAGATAAGTAAGACAGAAGGATAATGAATTTAAAAGAACATAAACCGGAACTAAGGACTATACTCATCATGTCAGCAATCTTCAGGGATTATAAGAATCTGTGTTTCACAAATGAGTACCATAACAACCGTTTCAGGGTATTAAATGCCTCCTTTTCAATCAGATATTTCTGGGGCACTTGTGACAGAGATGTTCCTGTAATAATTAAGACAATTTATCATTACGGCTTTCTCAATCATATTTTCCATATCTTTGGATAGATCTCCTATCAAATATTAAATTCTGCATATAATTCCATCTCCACAATTTATGTGTATGTACATATGTCTATGTGTGCATATAAAATCAACTTAATTTTCCTTGCTTGTTTACAATTTCATTTCCCCTGTTGTACCTAATCACTGATAAATTTCACTGTTAGGAACACTAGGGCTTGGAGTTATTTTGTTCTCCAGCAAGCAAAGTCAAAATGTCCATGTGGTTAATTTAAAATTCAGTCTAAAATTAAGGGTCTTGTAATGACTACCGCAGAACCTAAAATTACACTGGCATTTGCATTTCTTTAAGGAACTAAAAATATTCCTTTTTACTAGATGGTGACGTGCCTTTCTACACTCTTCCATTATACAGGTTGTATAAAGTGCCATCACTAAAAGAGAAACAAAGTTTTTTCATGTTTCATTAGAGTTTTAACAGTATAAAGGTTACAGTGTTTTTAACTATTTTCCTTACAGTTTAATATTCTGTCGAATTTCTTCTTTCAAGAGCTAACTATACTATTTTCATTATTATCTCACATGACTGCTACTTTAAATTGATTGTCTTTCTCTTATTTGTTTTACCCAATTTTCTGTTTGCCTTCTCTCTCTGAATTTACATTTACTATTTTGGTCACTGGTATTCTTTCTGTTCTCCTTTGTTATTCATTAATAGTCTTTAAATCAGTCGATTTATTCATGACTTCCAATTCACTAGCATTTCTGATTTCTACTCTGCTTTCAGTTATCCCTTTGTTGCTCTGGTAATTTCTTTCCTCTAAACAAAACATTATTTGATGCTAAAATTTCCAAAAAACAGAGGAAAAAAGAACACAGAAGAGAACCTTTAGAGCAACATCGAAGAGTTAGGAAGAGGAAATGCCAAAGGGTTTTGTGAAGGATCAGTAGGGAGAGAGCCAAGAGATGGTAAGTAGCATACCTCTCAGACGTCATACTTAGGCACTAAGTATACTTAAAAAAAAAAAAAAGAAATCAGGGACACCTAAACAAAAGAGGAGCTGGTGGAGAGAGATAGATTGATGTATGAAACAGGAGGTAACTATTGGAATAAAGATTCTAGAGGAGAAGGGATTTAGGGCACAGATAAGAGTTCTGAAAGAGAAAGCAGCTAAAAAGTATATGGAATTACTTCAACAGCAGCACTCCTCTATGGAGTGGGGAAAGTCAGAGTAAAGTTAGCTTAAACTGAATCAGTTATATTTGTAACTATAAAGAGCTTGAGTGGTTTTTAATACTGAGCTGGATTGAAGTCCCAAAGCCATGTCCTGGGTGGGATTTTCTAATTTTAAGGAAGTGAGGGGAGTTACAAAAGAGTATTCTGATTAGGCGGCTTAGGTGGTGCAGTGGATAGAGTTCTGGGTCTGGAAATCTGAGTTCAAATATAGTCTGAGACTAT